TTGAGTTCGACTTTGAATGCGTTGTGACTCTCGTGTTCGTTCACTACGCTCACTAGCCTCTGTAATTCTTTCCTCCATTTCCAAAAGGAGGAAGTCTAACTCGCCTATAATTCCTCGGGCCTGTTCTGCGAAGTCCATGAAATGGACCCACACTTGTCCTTCCTGTACATTAGGAGGAAACGTATTGTACAGCTGCTCCTCAGCTTCCAAATCTCCTCCATCCAGGAGATCAATAAATCCTGTCCACTCGTGATCGAGAGTTTCTATTCGCTCAAGTGTGCGAATCAACTGATGTCTTTCAGCCCGGAGGCGTGCCGGGTTTTGTGCTTCTTGTTCATTACCCAAAAGGGTGGTTGCCGCGATAATATGATCCTTGAGGGCTCTCAGAGCTAGCCCAATTTTCCTTCGAATATGTCCTGAAGATGGCATTGTGATAAGCGATTATAATAATCTGCTTAAAAGCGTTGGACTAGCTAATTTAGTCCAAAAACGCAAAAGCTTAAGGAACTTGTGCCTTTAAGCTAAAAAAATAAACTCGCTGAAGACTGACTATCAAAGTCAGAAAATTGATGAAAATATGAGAAGAGAGCACTTTTGGTATATTTTGTGCTAAATTGATGTTTACCGCGACTGGTAAGTGGCAGCACAAAGTTCTCTTCTCAAAAGAGAAAAATAAACGCAGATGTGTGAAAAATGTAAATAAACACTAAAAATGTAAAGTCAGTCGCTCTGACTTAACCGTGTAATTGGCCGACGGGTTGGCCAAAACAAAAGAAATGACTTGCTCACAGAGCGAAAAGTCAGTGTTCTTTAAACTCGTGTTGCCGCGCTCTAAAATGCGCCAATCGTGTGAATGGCCAAAGTTATGGCCAAACAAAAGAAAAGGCTTTCGTGTCCCTTTTCTTCTCAAAAAATGTGCAAAAATGCACCAACTTGTAAACTTGTTGATTGGCCGATGATTTGGCCAAATAAATTCCTTTCTTGTTTTTCGTGTAAAATTGTGCAAAAATGTGCACAACTGATGAAATGTGTTAAGACCTAAGTTTTGGTAAACAAAGGAATGACTTCTTTCAAGAAAAATGTGCAAAATAAGCACAAAAAAATTGCTAGCAAAGAGCAAAGATTGAAATTGTAGAAAAGGGGATGAGCGGGTTTGTTCGCGGAAAAAACTGCGTCCTTCAAGGAGCGTGAATGTATGTCGGTCCGCTTGAGGGATCACGACTTTGCGCACTTTGTTGTGCGGGCTTGTGGGGTAAGGCTGTGAATCGGATAGTTTCCGACTTAAGGATTACTCTCCAGGAGTAATAGATGATGAACTCGTGAACTGCTGACTTGTGAGAAGATAAATGTTGACTTACTCTCCAAGAGTAAGTATTCGTGTGCTGCTGGCTGATGAGCAGATAACGGTTGGCTCTGGTGGCCAAAACCGCGTGTTCAGGATGAGAACACAAAATTTAGCCTAAAAAGGCAGACGTGTTGATTGGCACAATTGCCTGAAGAAACGGGGGCAGTGCGATTGGACTGCGGACCCGTACGGGGCTCCAATTTTTATATGTGCCCAAAAGCCCTTTCGGGTGGACACACAATTTGTACGGCCTCCGGCTATGGGAGGGACGGACGCTTATAAAGGGAGGACAGAGAACTCAAAAGTTCTCTTAAACTTATAAGCGATGATGACGACGACAGCCTACCCAAAATCCCCAAAAATACACACACCAAAGAAGAAAAGATTTATTTAATTAACAAATAAATTTAGCGGTCCGATAACAGCTCGGGATCCGCGGTGTGAATAAATTGGTGATTAAAATATGTGGTGAAAATGCGAACAAATAATTTAAGTTAGTGCTCCGCTCTCCTGCTCCCAGTTGAAGGGAGAAAAGTTGGTTTAATTGATTGGGTTTAAAGGAATTAGAAAATTATAAGATTTTGAGAGAAGTTGGAAATTGAAAGAAGGATTGAAAGAAGTGATTTTAGGGACAGCCGAGCGCTAACTTGACAGCCAAAGGTAGGCGTGGTTAAAAACAAAATAAATTGCGGGCGGTAAAATTAAATAGGTGAGAGAAATGGAAAAAATAGTGGAGGGCTTATGCCCTTTTGGGCACAAGTCTTGAGACTAGGGAAAATGAATCGTCCTTACTAAATATCAACTACCGATGATAAATTTTGTTTTTATGAAGGATTTTGATAGGTATTAGTCTCTCCTTTGATTACTACAATATTTCATGATCACGATAACATTAATTATAATAATATTCCAACATTAGGACATCCTCGTACGAACTCCACGCAAAAAAACAGCAGTTTTTGGATGGATCTGCCAACTAAACCTTGATCCAAAGATTTAACTTCCAAAGGCCCCTCATTACTCAACCCTTCACTTCTGCACGAACTAATGATGAAAAGCAAAATGTTGCTGTATTTTCAGCGCCTGCTGTGTATAATATTCCATTGAAGCATTACAACTAGATAAAATATGGATGGGATATTTTGGATAAGAAATTTAGTCAAAAACCGGTTTCGGTTAACCAAAAACCGGGGGTCAGTCAAAAACCGAAAACCGGGGGTAGAAAACCGGACATAACCGAAAACTGAGGGTAGGTTAATAACTGGTCGTGAGCAACCCTAGTATCAAGATTTGCCCTTCTCCTCCAGTCAAAATTTTTTATTGTGGTGCTAAAAAATAAAAGAATCTGGCTTCATGGTTTTTTTGAAGGAACTGGAACTCTTGCTCTCTATGTCCAATAATCTTGATCTAATCATGATAAGGGTCTTGAACATTAATTACATATTACTGATATGTACATATTACTGACAAACATTTATGTGTGTAACTTTTCTCTACGGATTTTATTCTTTCATTAATTAATAAAATATATATATTTTAATTTAAATTTTTAAATTTTAGACATTGAATAATCAATTGATCAAGTTTATTTATTTAGATGAATCTGATTAATTGATCCATTGCTTATATTCTTGCCTATATTGGGGAATAGAGAGAGAGAGAAAGAGATGAAGGGAAGGGAGGGATGGGGAGGCACCTATCTTTACGAATCTCTTACAACTATAAATTATGCCTTACTACATATATATTATATACATTTATTAAATTATGTCTTTAATTTTCAATCAAACATAAGGCATTAAAAAATTATATTATTTATTAGGTAATAATTTTTAATAAATACATATACATGCATGTTTAAAGATTTATTATTTTAAATTTTAAAATTTCTTAATAAGTAATGTTTAATAAATGCTAATAATAATTTAATAATAATAGCAAAAACAAACAAAGTTTGCTTTCGATTGAAAATACTAATACATAAATATCATGTTTTTATTCTAACAGTATTCAAAAAATAATTTTAGGACAATAAATCTTGTAAGAGATTGTTACCTGCCTAGTCACTTTTAAATTACTTCGTTAGAGCGGGTTTTATGAATTATAAATGCCAAAATATTTATTATAATATGAAATCTATACATAAAAATTCTCTAAAAGGGGTGCTATTCGGCGAAAAATTTACCATAAACTGAAAACCTAAAAATATTTACTAAAAAAGTAAAAATGCGTTGATTAAGTGACAAAAAGTACCGTATTCTCTCGATTAATTCCCCTGTGGAATTGATATTTCAACCCATCCGTGGGATGGGGAATTATTCGAGGGAGGGGAATTATCTGAGTTTTGCCATTTGAACGTACAGTAAGGTATTTGGGGGTGCGGAATCATAATTTCAATCCATCCCTGGCAGGGGGAATTAATCGAGAGGGGGAATTATTTGAGGGAGGGGAATTAATCGAGCGGGGAAATCATTCGAGGGGGGAGGGGAATTAATCGAGAAAATACGGCATTTGCAAATTTAGATTTACTCGAACTTATTTGGCATATTAAGGCTTAGATGTTTATTGTAATATTTTATTTTGAAGGAATAAAGTATTTATTAAAAGATAGGAGATAAATTAAAAAATTAAAATCATTATCAGCTTCGGTAACTTCTAAAACAGCAATATCATTTATAAGATGTTTTTTACCAAGTTTATAATGTTCCTGCTGAGGAAAAATTCATTGTAAGGGAGATGGAATAGAACCATAAAGGAAAGGGCCCAAACCGAAGCACAACCGACTGTGCCATTATCCAACCCGATGATGTGTCATTTATTTTCAATTATGTTCTTTCTGCAAGTGCGAACACAACAAATTAAAAAAACAATTTTAATTAACAAATAATTTAAAACAATTTTTATAAATTTTAAACAATATTAAATCCTTACCCTAGTTAAAACAATCAATTTATTCATTAAAGCAATAAGGTTTATCAAGCATTTGAGTCGCGCTTATTCCTCGTCTATCTTGGCAAAAAGGTAATAGAGGCAAATGGGAGAGGTGAAAGAGAGGGGAAGGGGGGGGGTAAGGGGGAAAGGAGGGAGGGAGAAAGGGGAAAGGAGGGAGGGAGAGAGGGGAAAGGAAGGAGGGAGAGAGGAGAAAGGAGGAGGGAGATAGGGGAAAAAAGGTACATTTTCAAAGCTTTTATTCTTAAATTTCATTAATTTAAAATATTAGTTAATAGATGCCCTTACCTTAATATTAAGCAGATCAAACAAAATAGTATTTTTAAATATATTTATTTACTTTTTTAAAAATTTATCTTATTTTATCATTTAATTTAATAAAAAATTTTGAAATTATTTATAAAATTTATTTTAATTAATTAAATTTTTTTATCCTCAATTCTACATTTATTAATATTAAAATAAATAAATAAATATTATTGTTATAATTATTTTTGATATACATATTTCTTAATTTTAAATCTTAATTCTAAAAAATTCCAAAAATTAAAAATTTTTTCTTTATTTGACCTTTAATTAAAAGAAAATCTGAAATTATAGAAAATATTTCGAATTTAAAATTATTTTTTTCCAAATTATTATGTATTTAATTTAATAAAAATATTTTTTAAGACATTTATTCATAAATTCAAAAAAAACATTTACTATGTCATCAAAAAATTCAGAAATTCCAAATTTATATTATATACACAAACAATTAGTTTTGCCTAATTCGGAATATTCGGATAAATTAAATGAAGCAATTTCTAGAGAATTAATTGCCAGATTTGGGACAATGTCACAAGCATTAATTAATAGGTATTAATTTATTTATTAAAAATAAATTAAAAATTAATTTATTTTTAATTATTTTTAGACATGTAAAAAATATTTATAATAATGAAAATGTTTTACAAAACAGCTTAAGTCCAACAGAATTTCGAAATATTTCAATTGAAGAAAATGAAGGGGAAGAAAGTAATGAAATGAATAATGATGATAGTTTTGATGATAGTGATAGTGTTAAAATAATTTTTGGGTATACAAAAGAAAGTTGGCCTATTGGAGAAGAAGAGGCAAGAGAAAAATTATTATTAATTTTTAATTAAGAATAAGCCGCATTTCTCTTTTATTTTTAAAATCTGCAAATGTAGTCCGAGTTTGCGGACTACATTTTTGACAAGTTTCCTAAATGTGGATTGCCAAAATATTTTGAAATTGGAGTTCTCGGACCAAAGTAAAAACACCATTTTTGAGCTTCTCTCATCAAGGCATACCCGCATATTTTTCCCAGCCCTAGATATTTTCCCAACTTCCTATTCCTATCCTCGTCTTTGTTGATTAGAATTTTATTTCCATTCTGAACATAATAATAATATTAATAATATTATTATCTTTTTAGGAAAGAGAAATAACTCCTTGGAGGATTAATTTCCTCAAAGAGCTAACTTTAAATCATTGGACAAGTAAACGTAAACAAATTTTACTTTCACGTGATAAATATTTGGCAATGATTGAAAGTGTTAGACAATTTGGAAATGATAATAATGAAGGAGAAGGAGGAGAAGGAATAATAGAAGATAACCAAAATAATATTTTATCCCAATTTTACCCCTCATTTTCTTCTTCTTCAACAACAAATTATTCTTCTCCCTCAATGTCCACACCAACAAATTTAAACAAAAAGCCTTATTTAAAATATAAAATTGTTCAACTTGGGGAAGAAAAAATAATTGAAATGTTGGCAGAACGTAAAGATTCTGAAAGACTTTTTCTTTATAATGAACAAATTTTTGATGTCTTGTATAAAATACATATGGATACTAGACATGGACGGAGTATGTCCATGTACAGTATGATTAAAAATAAGGTTTTTACAGAAAAAAGTTCCCTTTGAAAATTAAAAAAATTTTATTTTCAGTTTGCAAACATCACTATAGAACAAATAAAATTATTTTTAAGTTCTTGTGAAGGGTGTAAAAATTGGAATAAAAATGAAAAAAAACTTTATACACTTTTGGCTAATAATCCAAATAAAGAAAAGGTTAAAAAATTTTTCTTTAGATATTTACTAGGGACTTGGTAAGAAAAAAACGATTGATTGTCAAATTAAAGGACCCTATTGTCTGAGTGATCAGTCTCGTCTCTAATATTTATTGATAAAAGGGGAAATATTATTTAAATTTATTTTTCTAAAATATTAAATTTTAGAGAAACTTCTTATTATTTCCCTAAAATAAATATATTAAATAAACACTAAATTAAATTAATTTTATTTTAGAAAATTGAATATTCAAAATTCTTCGATTTTGAAGAAAAAACAATTGGATGCCGTTATTGCCCATACAAAAAGATAATTAAAGAGAATATGAAATCAACAAATGCCCTCAGAAGTCATTTAAAGAAATATCATTTAAGTATTTTGAGAGAAGTTAGAAAAGAGGAGATGGATATTGAAGTTGTTGAAAATGAGTGATTTATTTTGATTATTACTTGTGATATAAACATCCATCCCATCCTTTCAATTGATAATTATAATTTTCTAAATTTGTATTTTCTTTTTACCCCCAAAATCTAGGAGTTAAATGCTAAAATTATGGACCTGCACCGGGACTGGACGCAAAAATTTTCTTTTACCGCAATTACGTCCAGCCCGACCTGAACAAAACCTTTCTCAAAAGTTACATATACCGTTTATTTCCTAAAATTTGAAAGACGGGAAGAAACCATCAAAAATTCTCTTCAAAATTTTGTTTATAATATACCTATTTAAGTAACTGACCTACCCAAATACCTAATCATTTTAAAAACAGAGTTATTTATTTTTAAAAATATTTTTATATTAATTTATTTTTTATAAATTTTATATTTTGTCAGATTTATTTTAAAGGATTATCTAATAGAGTCAAACATTGTTGTAATATACCTTTTAGAATCGTTAGTTATGGGGAAAATACATAACCGATTAACGAGATATTAACATAAAGATATAGAAAGAGTTTAGCAAAAGTTTAGCCACCGGGCAGGATTTGAACCTAAGACCTCCTTAAAGTTATTGCTGTTTTTGGTGGTTGCTGTTTTGTTTGTGTGTTTTGGTGAGGCTACAATTCCAATACATACATATTTATATTTATTAAAAAATAAAATACAAAATAATACAAAAAATAAATACAAAAATATTAAAAAAAATTAATGGCATTTTTTATTTATAAATTATTGCTCTTTTAGTATCTTTCCAATAAAATTCTTCACCAAATTGCACATTTATCTACCGGATTCATCGGAGAACCACTTGGACAAGCAAAAATTTTAGCAAAATGTGGAGAATTTTGAAGAGGTATATTTACTCTAGCAGGCACTACAGAATGTTGTTCTGTCATTATTCTTTGTCTAAGCCATGTTGAACCCAAACGAGAACATTGACGCTAAAAAATTAAAGAAAAATAAGATTTTTCTATGTAAAAAATATTTACAAAGGCATAATGAATAAAGAATAGTTGATCTCCATTAAATTCTTCAAGTCCATCAATTTTTCCAAAAATATTTTGATCGAGTGAAGATGAACTTCTTTTTAGTACTTGCCATGCTTTAAAGGCAGCATTTAATCCTCCATTATCGGCAATATTTTCGTTAACGGTTAAAGTTCCGTTTAAGTTAATCCAAACACCGTCAATTTGCACCTATAAATTTAATATGTAATTAAAATATTATTTAATTGATTAATAATATTAATAATAATTAATATTAATAATAATTAATAATTATTTAATAATATTAAAATATTATTTGATCTATTAGATTTCATCCTCTTTGATTCCAAAACACAAAAACTACCTTAGAATTTCCATATTGTTTAACAAAACATTCCTTCTTTTTTTGAAATATTGCCCTCATTTGGGGGCCTAACCAATCCTCCATTTGCCCATTACCATTATAATACGACCCCCAATCATCAAAAGCATGACTTAATTCATGCCCAAGGGTTACCCCAATTCCAGCATAATTCATAACTGCCAAAAAATCTTTGCTAAAGATTGGAGGGTTCAAATATCCATTTAAGGAAACTAAAGCATTTGTTTCTCTGCTATAATAGGCATTAACGAGCCAAGAAGAATCATAATAATCATTTGTTGCCATTTGACGAAGAAAACTTGCTCCTTCAAAGGTATGAACCATCTCCGCAAAAGGCACATCTGTTCTAAGTGGATTATAATGTCTATAAATTCCTTCCAAATAATTATTATCAAATATTCTTTCAAAATAAACAGCATTTGCCTGTAACATTTGTAATTTTGTTAAAGCTTTTCCTTTAGTAACTGTATCGAGCCAAGGATTATCTTTAAAAATATTAACAATTTTTATTTAAAATTAACGAAAGATAATTTTCGTAATTAAGGATTTATTGTTGTTTTTCATCCTAATATAAATTTATTTTTAGTAAAAAAATTAATTTCCTCTCTCATACTTTCTGGAGGGGTTCCAGAAAGATGGGTTCCTCTCTCTCTCTCTCTCTCATTGATTTCGAGTTCCTCTCTGATACTTTTCGAGGCTCCCAGAAAATTAAATTTAAATATAAATTTCTCCCTTACTTTCCAACATTCTTTTAAATTCCGAGTAAACACTCGAATATATTTTCCCAATTTCCGTCCGTACTCCACTTTCAAGATGTTTAGACAAATATAATCTGTCAAATATTTGTGGAAAGTACCATTCAATGAATTTTTCACATTTTTCGTTTGTTGTCATCCAACTTTTTGTCATTGCACATCTTTTATAAATTGGGGAAGCTGGAACTTCTTCTTCAACTAAAAATAATATTTTTTAAAATTTTATATTTCCATTTCTTTTTATTTTCCACCTAATTATTTTTATTTTGAATTCTCTTCATTTAGAGAATTCCTTTTAATTTTCTTCAAAAATAATTTTCAAAAAATCAGAGGTGGGTCGGAATTCCGATTTCCGAAGTTTTTTTCCTTCCGATTTCCGAAAAAATTTTGATTTCCGATTTCCGACTTTTGAGCCAGTTCCAATTTCAGGCTCTTCCAATTTCCGACACCTCTGACTATTCCGACCCACCTCTGCAAAAAATAAAACTAATTTTTTTCAACTACCTTTTGGAGGTTTAGAATTAACATAATGTAAAGTATATCTTTTATCCATTTGTGGCATAAAAGTCCACAAAGTATTCCAATCCAAATAATCAGAGATTTCTTGTTCACTAAATTCTCCAATTATTTTCCCCATCCTTTGAAGAAAGGAAGGGTCTGATAAATGAATTTCTGTTTGGGAATCCACAACAAGTCCAACAGGCGAAAGAAGATTTTGAACAAATTTGGTCCAATTAAATGCAGAAATAAAAGCATTGGGTGTATCGAGTTGGGAAAGTTTTAAATAATTTTTGGAGCCTGAAGGGCCGCTATCGTATATTGAATTAAAGTCTAATTAAAAAAAATTATTTTAAAACTCCTTTAATCGGCGCTCCGACTCGGGCACAGTGATCCATTTGCACAGTAAGACTTTTGCACAGTGGGCATCTGCACAGTAGACATTTGCACAGTAATTTGTGGTTAAGTGGATTTGTGTTAGATTTTACTTATTGTTATAAGGGAATAAAAAAGATATCCGCATCGGCAAAAACTTTTTTTCGCGAAAACCTTATGTGAGGGGTTAAAACAAACGGGCATAACTTTGTAAAATCAAGTCATTTTTCGTTAATTTTGGTTCCATTCGATTTTGGTTCCATTAATTTTGGTTCCATTCGATTTTGGTTCCATTCGATTTTGGTTCCATTTGTTAATTTTGGTTCCATTCGACTCAGCTCGAGAATCTCATTCGAATAAGCTATTATTTGCATATTAGAATTTTTCACGTCAAAATCGACCTTACTCACCCCTAATAACTTGCTGCAAAAATTTTTCCTTGGGCTAATTTTGGTGGCATACCCCTTCTAAAAAATCTGATTTCTGATGCAACGCCCAACAGTCTCGACCTTGGTGTCCTCAGTCAAATGCTTGTCCCGCAAGAAATTTTTTAAAAAAGTGAAAAAGTGTTTTTATTTTAATGGCAAATGGATGGGGGTCAGTTAGCCTTATATGAGCCTTGAATATTTAAATTAAAATAGTAGATAGATAAAGAATTTAAGAAGAAGAAAAATCGGTAACGTGAAACCACACTAGTACTTATGTTAATAAAAGAAGAAATTATGAATTCTAATACAATTTAAGATTTTTTAGTAAAGGTATTACAAAATATTAATAATTAATAACATTTTAATCCCTTATAACAATAAGTAAAATCTAACACAAATCCACTTAACCACAAATTACTGTGCGATTGTCCTCTGTGCAGATGTTCACTGTGCAAAAGTCTTACTGTGCAAATGGATCACTGTGCCCGAGTCGTGTCACCCTTTAATCTTCTCTAACCTAATTGTTTTGCCAATTTATTTTCAACTTTAAATAAATTTCTAACACGCCTTTCAGCCTCAGAAAGAATTAATTCTTTAACTTGAGTACCATTACAATTTGGAATTATTTCTCCCTTAAATTTTTGATTTTATAAAAAATTTTGAGAAAATTATACTTTAAATAAATTATTTGAGGGTAACAAGACGGGTTGAATTTTTTGTTTTAATGAATACCAAACATCATCTTCCAATAAATTTTGGATAATCATTCCATAACGAGTGGCTAATAATTCTTCTCTCTTTAAAATTAAAGGAAAATTTTTTAATTTTGATTAAAATTATTATTACTTTATTTATATTTCTTTCTCGATAATTTGAAATTAATGATTTTGGTTGGACACCTTTAAAAAATTAAAAAATAAAATTTATTTTTTAATTTTTTTTACCTAATGATTTTCTCATTAAATTAGTTCTAGGTTTATTTGTATTAAATAAAGGTGTTAATTGAAAGAAAACATTAATTGGGAAAGCTTTTAAAGCCCAATCTGTATCGAAAATTCTTTTGTTATTATTTCCTTTTTGTGTTAAAATATTTAATTTTGAAAGAATAACATCGCTGCTTTGAGTTAATTTATTTGATGATTGAATACAGGCACTGTGAAATCCGTAAAGTTTTTGAATTAAATTTTGAGGTAAATTGGGGACTGAAGGTGGAGGGTTGGCAAGTAAATCTGTAATTTTTTAAATTAATTTTTAAATGAATAAATTTTTATTTTAAAACCTTCCAATATTTTTTGTGTTTGTTGACGTCTAGAGGCTGTTGTACTTATTTCTGAACAGTCAGTACTGAAAAGAAAAATAAAAATCGTTTTTAATATTCTGATAAATTATAATTTTTATATACTATAATTTAAAATTCTAAAAATTTTCTCCAACCGGTAATCAAAATTAACAAAAGGCCAACGTACCGCTGAGATATAACTTTGTTCGAAATGGTCGAATACGGGACGCCTAATATGGTTCGATTCAGCTCGTCGAGATGCATCGAACCATATCAGGGTGTTCCGGATATGACCATTTTGGATGAAGTTATAGCTCTGCGGTACGTTAGCCTCGCGGTACGTTGGGGTGTACCAATTATTATAAATGTCCAAAAAATTAAATAAACGAATTTTAAAATTAATTTTCTTTTACCGTGGTATATTTTTCCTATCAAATCCATCACAAACATATTTATAAAAATCATTACAAGGTTCTAATTTTTTATTTAAAGATTCAATTAATTCAGGATATTTAAAGGAAAATATTGGAGTAAAAACAAAATTAAATAAAATAAAAATAATTGAAAGAAAATTTGTTGTTTTTGGCATTTTTGTCGAATAAAAAAGCAAATTTATTTTTAAAAAATATTTTTGAAAGCAAATATTTTTGTTGTTGATAACTTAAAATTAAATATTTTTTATAATTAAATTTTTTTTGAAATAAATATTTAGATAGAAAAATAGTTTTAGTTTTATATTAAAAAAATTTATTTATTAGCTATATTTTTTAGAAATCTGGACAGACATTTTTTTAAAAAATAAACAAAAACAACTTAATAATTGCCTAAATTTTAATTCCGGAACTAAAATAAAATGAGGAAAAAATTTCAAAAACTTTATAAATATATTTGAAATTATTCTACTAAAATTTTTATTAATAAAATAATTCGATAAAAAATAATAGTTTATATGTTAAAAATTAAAAATATATTTTTTACATTAAAAATAGGGAAACTAATTTTTAAATGAAAATATTTAATAGAAAATTTAAAATTTTTAACATTTTAATTTTTTGTGTTGAAAATAATTTTGAATGATTATAGTAATTTGAAAAATCGTTTTTTTAAATTTATATATATTAAAATAATTTACTTACCTTTTTTTACACATTCCACTCGGTTGACCAAAGACAGACATTTTTGGCATCATTTCACAGAACCTGCACGGGATTAAAAGGCGCGTGTAAAGAACACACGTTCTTTTTACTTTTTTTGTTCCTTTTTAAACTTTAATTAATTCGATCAATCAAATTTTTGGGAAATGAAAAAAAAGTGGAAAGATCAGATGTTAATTTTGGATATAAAAATTTTGTTAAAATGCAAAAGAACAGAAATAGTCCAAATTTTTTGGTTTTGTAGGAAAAAAGAGGATGATTAAATACACGTGAACTGATTATGAGAGAAGGGGAGGAAGAAGTTGGAAAGGGAGAAAAGGGGAATTAGAAGTTACTAATTCGTTTTTAGGCGCGGATAAAGATAAGGAGTGAGAAAGGAATGAGAATTTCGGAGGCCGAAGTTTGGAATCCGAATTGAGGATTTTAGAGAAAGACTACGAGTATATTCAAATAATTTTTTTAAATGAAATCGTGGATTATGTCTATATTTTTTTCAATTCTGATAGTTTTGTGGTAATATATCGACTTTAATTTAAAAGAGATCGGCGCCTAAAAATCACTTTCCGAGTGATTAGTGTTGGAGGAAGAGGAAGAGAAGGGGGGGGGGGGGGGAGAAGGGGGGAAGTAAAAAGAGAAAATACAAAAAGGAAGACTGGACTCTCGACTGTTTCTAATTTTAGAAAATAATTTAAAATTAAAAAAAAAGTTCAAAAATAGTTTAGTTAAATTTTAATTTAATTTTAAATTGAACTACTTTTAATTTAAAATACAAAACATAAAATTATAATTGATTAAAATTAAACAAAAGGAAATTTAAAAAAGAAATGCAACATTGTTTTAATTTTTAAATAGGCAACAGATGAAAGAAAGAAAAAAATTTAATTTTAAATATAGAAAGATCAAAAAACTTTTAAAGAATTTAAATAAAATTAATTGAGAAATTAGACAAAAATTCTTTGATAAGTTATACTTAGGTTGAGAGTATTAGTATTTTATCTCTACAATTTAATCCTAGGATTCTGATTTTTTGCTAGAAAATAGACAACTCTCTTAGGATCATAAAAAATATAATGCGAAGTCTGAAAACATTTAGTTGAATTTTAATAATTATTTAATCCGGTTAGCACAAGGGGGGGCTCATTATTTAACCCCGGGGGGGGGGGGTCTCTTATTTACTATGTCTCAACCAAAATAAAATTAAAGGTAGATTAATTATTTTTCATTAATTTACAAAATATATTTACTTAATTAAAGAACACTTTTTTTAATAATTGTTTGTATTATCATCATAATTCCCCCATCCATACTTTCGGAAAAATTCATCATAAAATTCAGCGATTACAGTTTCATCACTTACACGATAATCTTAAATTTAGTATTTTATAAAAAATCCAAATAATTAATTACGATAAGGATAATGAGGAGTTTGTGGTTGAAATTGATCAGAAGGTTGGTGTAGATGTAAAGCATTATTAGAATGTTTAGGTGATGAATGCTTTTTTTCTAAACAAATTAGCAGAAAATTAGAAATTATAAATTTTTAGTAGGAGGAATATTATTTGGAAATGTGGAGCTCTTCGAAGAGTAGGCAAATACAAGTGAAATACAATAAGGATATTGAGAAGTGCCGACTTCTCAATATCCTTATTGTAATTATTAAAATGCCGAATATGATTATTCTTATTTAGAACTAAAAAATTCTAAATTTGATTAAAATTTGAATTTTAGGTTAAACATGGAAAATCAAAATTAAATGATTATGTATTCCTAATTATCTGTTTGTCAGCTTTAAAAATTATAACTAATTTTACTTTTTTCTCGATGTATTTTAAGTTTTTCATTTTTATAAATAACATATTCACTTTCCGAACTACTTGACGAACTACTTTCTGAACTTGTTGATTTTTCATAAGAGACATTAATTGTTTCAGGTTTATTATCATTTGTTTCTAAATTAGTACTCGTTGAACCTTCGCCTTTTTCTGGTATTTGTACAGGTTCTTTTCCTTTTTTACTCGATTCTTCTTTATTTACAGTTTCAATATTTTCCTGATTTTCAGTATTTATTTGTGAATTTGGATCCTTATTTTCCGGATTTTCAACAGATTCTTCCTCTCCTTTAGACCCCTCACCCTGTACATTTCCCGTTGTTTGTTCAGATATTTCTGGATCTATTAAAAATATTGAAATGGCAAATATAAGTTAGGCGGCGAATAGAGGAGGTGCTAATAATTGTCACTTTATGGATATCCGACCATATTTCTTTATCAAAGCATATCTTAGAAATTTTGAATTTTTTTGAAAAAGATACTGATATAAATTGTGACATATATCCATAATGCGACAATATTATTACGAAATAATTATCATTATAAAACTTAATCGCTACCCTAAGTAACAAAATAATAATAAATTTATTTTTATAATATTTATTAAAATAACCAGTTTGTATACTTTCATCTACTACAGGAACTCCTTCAATTCTCCTACTACCAAATCCCTCTCTAAAACTTCTTCCATCCAACCGTAATTCTTCAGCTTCATTATTTACAATTTCCTCTTCAATTTCATTTTCATCAACTTGATTGTGATTAATATGTTTAAATATAGATTTTACTTTCTTAAGAAGTGTTGGTCGTTTCGGTTCAAATAAGTAAGTATATTCGGGACTTTGACCGTTCTTTAATTTTAAATATAAATTTAATTTTTATTTAAAAACACCTGCAAAATAGGCATAACTAAATGTGCTTCAAAAACTTTTTTTTCTCTTAATTTATTATTTTTGTTGAAAATGATAGATTCTCTAAAAATTAAAATTAATTCAAAGATAATTTTTATTGCCTATTAGTATACAGATATAATAAAAATTATTTTTCCGGGAACAGAGACCGGACTTTAGAGTTCACTTTAGTTTTTAAGACTAATAATAATAATAATATCTATATTACAGTGGCGGAAATTTAAATAGGGAAAAATGTTTTTAATTTTATTTTCAAAAATTATTCGGCTAATCATTTATATCGGGTCATTATTTTTATATAGTTTTGTAGCTCTATTTATGGGCTATCAGATTACTATTAATCATTAAAAGAAAACTTTACAATTAAGCGGAAAAAAATCATTTATCTATCTTGACTTAAAAAGTGCGCGGAAATTTAAATAGGGAAAATTTTTATATTTAGTTTTTCTATGGAAAATCAATATAGAAAAAATTTGAAAAAATTTCTGTGACATTCTCTAGCAATATGATGAGGAATGGCAAAAAAAACTGAATTCTACCTTTACTCCATCATCGAGATCTCGAGGCCCAAAATCAACGGAAAATGGGGGTGATTTGGGGGTGATCTGATTATAAAAAATATTTTGGTCCATCTGGCCTAGACAAAATTTTTCTTTCATCTTCAGATTAAAGCCCATTAAATTTGCTACAAAATAGGCTTAATGCCATTCCTTCAAAAAATTTCTTCTTCGAGATGAATACCAAAGATTTTCTATTTGCGAAATTTATGACTGATTTAACGCATTTTTCCCTAAATTAAAAGGTTTCAGCCTATATCTCGGAGAAGGAATTTTTTAAAGAAATGGTATAAGACTTATTTTATAGCAAATTTTATGGGCTTCAAACCTATCAAGAAAGAAAATTCTTATCTGTGTCAGATGGGCCAAATAATTTTTTGAGACAAATCACCCCCATTTTCCGTTGATTTTGGTCCTCGAGATCTCGGTGATGGAGCTGAGTTAAAGTTCAGATTTTTTTGCCATTCCTCATCATATTGCTAGAGAAGGTCCCAGAAATTTTTTCAGATTTTTTCTAAATTAATTTTCCATAAAAAACTAAATACAAATTATTTTCCCTATTTAAATTTCCGCGCACTTTTTAAGTTGACATAGATAAATGATTTTTTCTCGCTTAAGTGAAAACTTTTCCTTTAATGATTATTAGTCATTTGATAGCTTATAAATAAAGCTACAAAACTATATAAAAGTCATGATCCTGCATTAATGATTAGCCGTATAATTTTTAGAAATAAAATTAAAAATATTTTCCCTATTTAATTTTCCGCCACTGTAGGTATATTTTAATAATATAAATTATACTTTCCAGCAGCATTCTTTTTCATAAAAACAACTTTGTTGCAATCCATCACCGGACATTTATCTTCAAAATTAGTCTTTATTATATTTACATTATCTGTATTTGTTTCTTGAGGAGGTAAATGTGAAGAAGAGGAAGCTACTTCTAGCTGCGTTGTTGGAGATCCATGAGAACAGGTAGAAAGTGAGGAAGAGGATGAACATGAAGGAAGGTGATGTGGAGGTGTTGATGGAAGAGGTGGAGGTGGAAGAGGATTTCCTTCTTCTTCATTTTTATCTGCATTAGTTTGAGAGGCAGGACTTTCTTTACCTTCCCCTTCATCTTCCTTAACAGATTCCAAAGCCTGACGTTTCTTCCGATAGTAATGAAGTGAAGCATTTTTCCGAATTCTTAAAAATAAAATTAAGAAAATTTTATAAAATAAAATAATTAATAACCTTTTATTTGCACATTTTTTATGAACAAAATGCTGAAAAATTAAATTTAAAAGAAAAATTAAAAAATAATATTTACATTACAACCCGGGATCATGTGTAATTTCTGTACATTTGTTTTTAATTTTGTTTTCTTTCTTAAACTACAAATAGCACAAGATATTGTTGGTACCTTTAAAATATTATAAATTCGAATTATTGCTTAGTTTACAATATTTAAGCAATAATTTAATATTGAGTTAATGAAAGTCTTGAGGACCTTAGTCTCTAATTTTTTTCAGTTTTTGTCTTAATAATAACAATAAATTATAATTAATGAAGTTAAAACTCATTAATTTTGCAAATTTTATATTTTTATTTATCAATAATATTTAATTTATTTCTCCCAAACATTAAACTAATAATTAAATTTTTTATTTTAAAATAATTAAAAAACAAACAGCTTTAACACTTATAACCATTGGATAATGCTTGGAAGTTCTGATATAAGATATAACTTTAATCTTCTCCAAATCAACATCTATATTTGTTTTACCCTTCCATTCATCTTCAGACAGTTCTCTATTAGCCAAAATAAATTTTCTGTCATTTGCCTTCACAATATTAACAATATAATGCATTTTTAAATCGTTCTCTTCAAGTTTAACTAAAAGTTTATCATCCAATGAATTTTTAAATTTAAATCGTAAATAAAGATTTTTATCATTTAAAGGCGAAAAATGTCCAAATTGGAAACGATGTAACCGTTCACAATTTGGATTTTTTAATATCCAAGTGTTTGTCTAAAATAAATAAAAATTAATTAAATCCAAAAATTAATAATTTATATTTTGTTTAAATTTGAAGGAATCTTTAAATTTGAAATTTAAAAAGCCATATGAAAAAGCATTTCTCAATTCCGGGAAATAATTTTTCAATTTTATTCATATGTATATGTAAAATCAAGGGGCACAAATTCAGTAAAAAGGAATTTTTTAAATTTATTATATAGGAAGAATTTTTTAATTCATATTTATTTTTCTCAAACACAATATGTATCAATTATTTACATTCAAAACTTAAAAGCTTTTAAATATTTCAAAATTAGCTAGTTTCTTTTTATTTTTTTATAATATAAGTATATAAGTTTGCTGGAATTTTTGTAGATTTTTCCTAATGTTGGAAATAATTTTTTGGGAAGTGGAACTATAGTTATGTGGAGGTGTTTTCTAACAAAATATTTAAAACACTAGTAATTTTAATCCCAAAATTAAATTTTGATTTTTTATTAGTCTTTTAGGTACCTGAGGACAATATTTAAACGAAAATATAAAAAATTTTTGGGGTCTAAATGGAAAAAAACACGAAAATAGAGGTGGAACTATAGTTATGTGGAGCACTGTATCAATTATTTACATTCAAAACTTAAAAGCTTTTAAATATTTCAAAATTAGCTAAAAAACAACATTCCCAATTTCATCATGTCTAATTTAAAATCCTTTTAATTGATAATATTTCTTTATTTTAGAACTTTTAAAGTTCATGTATTTTTAACAGGTAAAATAACCTACACGTTCAAGCCCAAAAAGTCTTTCTAAGGAAGAAATTTTTACGTTAATCTTTTTTATATATTTTCCTCTTGCCGGAATCAAATTAAATTCAAAACGAGCTCCCTTTCCATTTTTTGAATCTATAACTGTTTTTTGGTGATATTTACCCCCTTTAATACACTCTTCACATTCTAAATTAACATGCCATCTAAAAATAAATTATAATTTATAAATTATTTTTTTGTCAAACTTTATAGCTAATTTAGTTTCTTCATGTAAAGATGGTGTTATCTCACCACGAAATTTACAACAGCAATCACAATTTTTTATATTAACCGAAAATATTATAATAATAGAAATTAATAATTTAATTTTATTTTTATTTAAAAAATTATTGTCCATCAATTCTTTATTTATTTTTAATTTAATATTAATTTAAATGGACTTTAATTTAATAAAATAAACTGAATAAAATAAATTTTGAATTTATATATTAATCAGCAAAAGCAATAAGTATTTCAGAAATGTATACAGTTTTTGGGCAATATCGAGAACCTAATAATCACCTTACATGCCCTTTAATATATTTAAAAATGTGATATCAGATCTCGATAAAAAATCATTTATCCTCAATATCAATGGAAATGTTTGACGAATTTTTTGTAAAAATTTTCAAGCATTCCTAATATGATTTTTGTAAGTAAAGGTATAATGTTGAGGTTTTTATTAAAAACTAAAAAATTTGAATTAAAATTTTTTGTTCTGTCGGGTTTATATGAATTGTCTCCTGTTTTAATTAATATAAATTTAAAGTCAGTTAGATTGAAGCGCTAATTGGTCGAGAAAGCGAAAATTTATTGGGAGGTTAAGATTATGTGAGCACTGTATAATTTCTAAATTTCCCTAACTATTTAATTAAAAAAACCTTAACTCTAATATTTTTTATTAAAAGAAAAAAAATATTCTAAAAATAAAAAATAAAAGGACAAAGGAAATCAATAAAAAATAAATGTCTGTCTGTCTAATATTTTTGACAAAATGTTATAATTGATAAATAAAAAATAATTTTTAATAAAATATATTTAAAGAGACTAAAGAATTATAAAAGAATAATAAATAGTAAATTTTATCTATAGACAATGCCAGAATTAAAGTTTTAAGAGAGTCTGTTTCAAATTTTCAATATTTAAAGTGGTGGAAATTTGAATAAGGAAAATGTCGATGATGGAGTTAGGTTAAAATTTGTTTTTGCTATTCTTATCATATCGCTAAAGAAGGTCTAAGAAATATTTTCAAATTTTTTCTATATTAATTTTCCATAAAAACTAAATATAAAAATTTTTCCTATTTAAATTTCCGCGCAAATTTAAATTAAATTTTCGTCACATAACTATAAAAATATATGTATGTAGTAAAATGAAAGAAAAATAAATATTTTAAATATTCTATTTTCTTTATTATGTAGATAATCAACAAGCAAAAATAAATAGGATTTTATTGAAAAGCTTCAAGTTTTTATTTTAAAAGTTAAATTAAATAAAATTAAAAATCTAACAAGAGAATATTTATAAGTATACATATTGTTTATTAAATTTGAATTTTAATGGATATAATATAATATTATATAATATATGAATAATAGGAAATAAAAGCCAAAAAAATAATAAGAAAATAAAGCGGATATTTAATAAATAAATCAATAAATAAACTTAAACATTTGACTGCCTTTATTAAAGAATATTATGATGCAATTAAAAACCATTTTGAAAAAAAAATTTGCCCTATTTTTTTATTCTATAATTAGGGCTGGGAAAAGTGCTCACAAAACCGCAGTTTGAATTGAAGCATTTTCTGTGCTTCAGTTTTGAATTGAAGCATTTTCTGTGCTTCAGTTTTGAATTGAAACATTTTCTGTGCTTCAGTTTTGAATTGAAGCATTTTCTGTGCTTCAGTTTAGAATTGAAGCATTTTCTGTGCTTCAGTTTTGAATTGAAGCATTTTCTGTGCTTCAGTTTTGAATTGAAACATTTACTGTGCTTCAGTTTTGAATTGAAGCATTTTCTGTGCTTCAGTTTTGAATTGAAGCATTTTCTGTGCTTCAGTTTTGAATTGAAGCATTTTCTGTACTTCAGTTTTGAATTGAAGCATTTTCTGTGCTTCAGTTTTGAATTGAAGCATTTTCTGTACTTCAGTTTTGAATTGAAGCATTTTCTGTACTTCAGTTTTGAATTGAAGCATTTTCTGTGCTTCAGTTTTGAATTGAAGCATTTTCTGTACTTCAGTTTTGAATTGAAGCATTTTCTGTGCTTCAGTTTTGAATTGAAACATTTACTGTGCTTCAGTTTTGAATTGAAGCATTTTCTGTGCTTCAGTTTTGAATTGAAGCATTTTCTGTACTTCAGTTTTGAATTGAAGCATTTTCTGTACTTCAGTTTTGAATTGAAGCATTTTCTGTACTTCAGTTTTGAATTGAAGCATTTTCTGTACTTCAGTTTTGAATTGAAGCATTTTCTGTGCTTCAGTTTTGAATTGAAGCATTTTCTGTACTTCAGTTTTGAATTGAAGCATTTTCTGTGCTTCAGTTTTGAATTGAAGCATTTTCTGTGCTTCAGTTTTAATTGAAGCATTTTCTGTGCTTCAGTTTTGAATTGAAGCATTTTCTGTGCTTCAGTTTTGATTGAAGCATTTTCTCTGCTTCAGTTTTGAATTGAAGCATTTTCTGTGCTTCAGTTTTGAATTGAAGCATTTTCTGTGCTTCAGTTTTGAATTGAAGCATTTTCTGTACTTTAGTTTTGAATTGAAGCATTTTCTGTGCTTCAGTTTTGAATTGAAGCATTTTCTGTACTTCAGTTTTGAATTGAAGCATTTTCTGTACTTCAGTTTTGAAATGAAGCATTTTCTGTGATTCAGTTTTGAATTGAAGCATTTTCTGTGCTTCAGTTTTGAATTGAAGCATTTTCTGTGATTCAGTTTTGAATTGAAGCATTTTCTGTGCTTCAGTTTTGAATTGAAGCATTTTCTGTACTTCAGTTTTGAATTGAAGCATTTTCTGTGCTTCAGTTTTGAATTGAAACATTTTCTGTGCTTCAGTTTTGAATTGAAGCATTTTCTGTGCTTCAGTTTTGAATTGAAGCATTTTCTGTGCTTCAGTTTTGAATTGAAGCATTTTCTGTGCTTCAGTTTTGAATTGAAGCATTTTCTGTACTTCAGTTTTGAATTGAAGCATTTTCTGTACTTCAGTTTTGAATTGAAGCATTTTCTGTGCTTCAGTTTTGAATTGAAGCATTTTCTGTACTTCAGTTTTGAATTGAAGCATTTTCTGTGCTTCAGTTTTGAATTGAAGCATTTTCTGTGCTTCAGTTTTGAATTGAAGCATTTTCTGTACATCAGTTTTGAATTGAAGCATTTTCTGTACTTCAGTTTTGAATTGAAGCATTTTCTGTGCTTCAGTTTTGAATTGAAGCATTTTCTGTACTTCAGTTTTGAATTGAAGCATTTTCTGTGCTTCAGTTTTGAATTGAAGCATTTTCTGTACTTCAGTTTTGAATTGAAGCATTTTCTGTACTTCAGTTTTGAATTGAAGCATTTTCTGTGCTTCAGTTTTGAATTGAAGCATTTTCTGTACTTCAGTTTTGAATTGAAGCATTTTCTGTGCTTCAGTTTTGAATTGAAGCATTTTCTGTGCTTCAGTTTTAATTGAAGCATTTTCTGTGCTTCAGTTTTGAATTGAAGCATTTTCTGTGCTTCAGTTTTGATTGAAGCATTTTCTCTGCTTCAGTTTTGAATTGAAGCATTTTCTGTGCTTCAGTTTTGAATTGAAGCATTTTCTGTGCTTCAGTTTTGAATTGAAGCATTTTCTGTACTTTAGTTTTGAATTGATGCATTTTCTGTGCTTCAGTTTTGAATTGAAGCATTTTCTGTACTTCAGTTTTGAATTGAAGCATTTTCTGTACTTCAGTTTTGAAATGAAGCATTTTCTGTGATTCAGTTTTGAATTGAAGCATTTTCTGTGCTTCAGTTTTGAATTGAAGCATTTTCTGTGATTCAGTTTTGAATTGAAGCATTTTCTGTGCTTCAGTTTTGAATTGAAG